TAAACAGCCCTATTTTAGATAACATACAGAAATCGATTTGGTTAAGCGTCGCATGTCACTCGCAAACCATGATTATTGGTTGTATTTATCACCCCTTTCAACATCCCATGACTTTTCTTCTATATCTGACGCGTTCGACCACCTGGCTGACCTCGCACCAGAACCCATACTTGTAGCAGGTGACTTCAACGCACCTAGTATATCTTGGTCCTCCTCAACAGCACCAAACAACCTTATTCCTTTCCTATCTAGCATTCAGTCTGGTGGCTGGACACAGCACGTGAAATCCCCCATTAGGGGAAACCATGTTCTGGACTTAATTTTCACAAAAAACCTATAGTATCTCAGACATCTATCCTCGACTACTTCCCAGGTAGTGACCATAGAGTGGTGAAATGTACCTTTTTACTTCAGCCGTCCAACAGCTCTGCCACTCCAGCCAAGGCTCCTCTTCTTACTGATTAGTCTTCTCTACCCAGTTTGGTTCTGTTCCAGGATTGTACTGGTTTCTTTCTCTCCTCTAACCCACAAGCTGCAACGAATATACTTTACCAGAACTTTTCTAACTGCCTCCTCTCGCTAACCCTAGATACCTTACCTTCTTATCGACCCCCCTCCCACCTCGGTAGATTATGCAAAAATTTAATAAAATAACTAGGCTGTACCAGACTACCCATGACTTTTCTCTCCTCATGCAGCTGCATTCGCTCGCACAGACGATTCAACATAAAACCGATAATTTGCATACAAACCAAAAACTTAAACCTTTATCACATCCTAACCCAGTTTGTAAAATCTCCAAACTGAGTAGATCGAGAAACGAAATCAATATTCACTCTATTTTTTACCTCAACCTTCCTAGTGACGTTGCCATCACCTCCCCACAGGAAATCTGTGAAGCCCTTAACTTCATATTCACCTCCTCTTTCACCAGGGACTCTATTTCCACCCCTGCCAACTTGTCTATGTTCATAACCAATTCTTTTAATATCATCTACTTTACAGCCGGTGACATTGCTAGTCTTCTCACTGCAACCAAGCCCTCCTCTCACCCTGGACCAGATGGACTACACCCAGTGCCATGTGCTTTGGAGAACCTGACATACCCGTCAGCTTGTTAAAACTATTTTCCCTCTCTTTGATCGATGGCATTGTACCATCTCATGGGAAACAATCTACCATCACCTTACTTCACAAATCGGGTCCCACCCATGATCCATCCAACTACCGCCCAATTTACCATCTTCCTATCCTTTCCAGAATAATGGAAAAATTGTTAAAAGACAACTTTCTGATTACCTACTCAATGAGAACCTACTAAGCAAGAGCCAACATGGCTTTCTAAAATTTTGCTCTTGTCAAACGTGTCAATTAAACTTTTTAAACCTTCTTACTAAATCCGTGGATTCTAATAAAGCTTATATAGTAGTATACCTGGATATGATCAAAGCTTTTGATAGAGTTTCGCACCCACGGCTTATTACCAAAGCCCAAACTTATGGGATAAGTAATCCACTCCTCTCATGGCTTTCTTCTTACCTTTCAGACCGTTCTCAGGTGGTTACGATAGAAAATGCTTCTTTCAAACCACAACCTGTTTCCAGTGATGTGATTCAAGGTGGCGAACCAGGCCCCTTTTTGTTCCTTATTTATAGTAATGATATTCCAAAATCCATTCATTATGGAACCCTTTCCTTTTCGCCGATGATATTAAAATGGTTTACTTTTTCTCCCCAAATAAGTTAATAAACGTCCTAGAGACATTCGGTCAGACCTGCTTGCTCTTGATCGTTGGTGTTCTTTGTGGTCGATGACTTTCTCGGCAAACAAAATTAACTTGTTGTCTTCTCGATGTCAAGTACCTCCGGGTTCTTTGACCAGGAACGGCATCCCACCAGGCATTTACTATCGCAGACCTGCCAATGAGAGCTTCCAAAAATATCAGATCGTTAGCGCGGCGCTGGCCTCACCTCCACCATCTACCGTTCAAGGTTGTTCCGGACACTTGAGTGGACAGATCGATCGACTGCGACGTACCCGAAACGCTTTGGGTTTTGGACCAACGGATAGAAGGCCGTAGAGATCCATATGTTGTGCGCACGATGTTTGGTTGAATACTCTGCTCAGTAATGATGGTAATTATTCAGCCTCGATCAACTTCATCTCGCAGCCAGATAATCCTATAGGAGACGACCTGGAGTGGCTATATAACCACGAATTCGGGAACATAGCAGATGACCGGGTATCTATGTCGATAGAAGACCAATTAGCACCGGATATTGTCACCAAAATGACACGACACAACGGAATCCAGTTTCAAGTGCCGTTATCCTGGGGAAAGAGATCCAACCGACTGAAAGACAATCGAGAAATAGCCCTCCATATGCTCATCTACCTGAAGAGAAGACTGAAAAGAAACGCATAGTTGAAGAAAGCTTATTGTAATGCCATGAAATGAAATCTAGTGTTGAGATATATCGAACGCGCAGTGGGAGAAGCACATTAGCGACTTTTCCAAGCTACTGCTCATGAGAGAGTTCAAGTTAATCAAGTGGATGTCTAACAGACGTCAAGCAATCCATTGCATCGTGGTTGATGAACGGTCACCGTGTCACCGTGACTTTCGGGGAAGTTCGGTACCAATAGACAGTCCACTTGGTGTGCAGTGGGACACGGAAAAAGATGAGTTTTTGTTCCAACTCTACTGCCCGAAAAGACGGCGACTTCTAGAGGGATTGTTTTCGTTGGCCAGCCTTTACGATCCAATGGGGTTCGTTGCACCGGGCAGGATTCTGCTGCAGGACCTGTGTAGAAAAAGGTAACTTGGGATGAAACCCTATGCAAAGCGGATCACAAGACCTAGCAAAGCTGTTGTCTGAGCCTATCCAAGCTGGGCGATATACAACTCCCTCGTTCCATACCACGAGCATGCCGGGGGGAGGCAAGTGAGTTTTATGTTTTTGCGGACGCGCCGGAGGTTGAATACGGGGTAGTGACCTACATTTGCTCGTCTCAGCCAGGTGGAAGGAGGAATACCAGTATACTATTCGCGAGAGCCAGGGTCGCCCCCCTATAGACAGTCATAATACCCAGGCTAGAACTGGCCGCAGAAGTATTAGCTGTGGGGGTGGCGAAAATGCTAAATAGGTGTTTTCACTCGATCGAATGGACCGCAACTTACTGGACTGATTCACTTGTCTCCGTTGATCGGNATAATGCCGCCTTCTGCATAAATAGCTTCGTTTCCAGGCAATTTACCGAATAGGGCGTTTATATAAATGAGAAATAGAATTGGTGGGGAACATATTCCTGAGGGACATTGGTTGCAATTTAACCTTATTCTGATACTGTATCGTTAGAGTAAAGGTGCTATTAAAAAGAAAGCTGCGCTGAGGGTTCGAATAGGAGTCAGTGATCCACACACCCCGAATTTGTGTATAATCGGGGCCTAATCGAAGGCTTTAGGGAAATCTATTAAAACCGCGTGTGAGATTTTGCATTCCTCGTAAGCCTTTGTTAAGCTATCAATGAGAGTCAGCAAATTGGTAACACCGGATCTTTCCATGTAGCAAGGTGAAAGTAAATTATTAGGATTTCCTCCTCCAGGATGCGCTCTACAACTTTGCTATGTACGCTGGTCAGGAATAAAAGACGATAGCTTACTAGAAGAAACCTATTGCCTTGTTCGTAGATGGGGGAGACGATTTCGTCTTTTCTGCCAGAAAAGAATATGGCTTCGTCCAGAAATCATCGGCTTATGTTTTTCAGACCTCACAGAGCAGTAGGGGCTTAGGTTGCGTAGTCTTTTCTTCACGTCTAACTGTGATAAGTAACATGGCTAAAAATGTGTAGTTTAGGAGGGGTTACATTATTGGATGGGTAATGGTGGGTTGGAACTGAGGAGGACCTGGCAGCGTTTTCGAAACACCTGCTATCTGTAAAGGGACCGTTACTTCTGTCCTGTCTGGTAACCTAAGGGTGAGAGAAGGGTAGGGTGTGCCACGCATAAGACGCATAAACCTAAAGAAGAATTGTCTGATCTTTTGTGCCCATTCAAGTTTTGCCCTTTCAGTAACTAGGACGGGCTGAGCAACGACGCGTTCACTAATACTATTGATCGGGCGTATCACGAGATTTCCCAAAAAGGGACCGGATTGAAAACAAAGCCGGGTACGAGCGTTAGTACTGTGATGTGACCTGCAGCGGAAGGGTGTACAGAGAGCCAAATAGACGATACAACTCACCGGAAATTGTGCCATTTTCGAGGTCATATGCAATCTCGAAACAGAGGGCAAAAAAACAAATGGGATCTTTATTGTAATGAGTGGAATGGCGTTTAAAAATGAAAATAATGTTGCTACACCCTATGCATGCGCAATTGATGCTCTCTAACTTTTACCGGCAGAAATGACTTAACCTTGAACTTGTGTGGTACATTCGAAATTCGATCCTACNTCCTACCTTGCTGTCCAATTTATCCCTTTTCAATAACCCTCTATTTACTCTGTCATAAGACGAAGATATTTTACCGGTGCGTCAAGACGAGGCTGCCCTGAGCTCAAAGAACACTCCGACTGAACTGCTATGACTTATTGATGAGCAAGCCCTGGAGATAAAAGAGCTTAAAGCTTAGCTGAGTAAAGTTGGTCACCAGCTTGCCAGCCTACAAGCTCTGATCCTAACATCTGCCCCAACAACTTGCGCTGTGAACACATCTCTTAAGCTTTCTCAGAAAGAAATACTGGATGCAGCTAAGAAACCAAAGTAGAGCGAACAACGTGCCAAGCGGGTTATCTTCTGGAGGCGGTTCTCCATGTCTGACACTTTAGAAAGTATCTGTAAGCACATATTCCGCCCTCTAGAACCACGTAAATGCAAACCTCTTGGGTGTACCTGGCTAACCGCCAAAGGTTCGCGGAGACGCCTGGGCTTTCTCGTTGACTTGAGGTCTACCAAGCTTGCCAACGGCATTCTCAACCAAACACTCGCCCTCAAACGCTCCTGGTTAGTCCTGAGGGGTGTCTCCATAGACAAACCTTTGCACGTGAGACTCTCGCAGCCCAAGCCAAAAGTTCCCGAATTCGACCCTAGAGACACCGAATTATTGAGAAGTGTCTTCATCTCAGCAGTTCGGTTGGACTCAAAGATTCTCAAGTCTCAACCCTCTTTCCCAGACCCTATATCATTAGACGAGACTGTATTTTGCAGTAAAACTATGGCAACCAGCTCTGCGAACAACGGTCTCATAGAACAGAACCGGACTTCAATCGAGGCATCTGGCAATAAGAGACAAAAGAAGCCGTAAAGCAAAAAGCAGATTAAACTCAGCCCGGTCTGCATACTAGCCCCATCTAACCCTAAAAGGGGGTCCCTCGGGGATCCTTCCACTTGCAATCAGGTGCGGTTGAACATACCGCAAAAGTAAACGGAGGCCGATTAAGGACCAACTGTCTACCCATAGAATAATCATTCGTGCAGTGTACCCTCACAGCCCAATAATCGCAACAACGGAGCAATTTTTCGGACGAAGGGGAAGACAGGCAAGCCACCGGAGAGGCTCATAAAGAAAGCCCCTCCTATGGTGAAATAACTTCCCAAGATAGCTCCCCAATCAACTTTCACTCATCTCGTACATCCACCATCACTAATGTCCCTTCCGACCGCTCACCCGGTCCCGCCTTGCTCCCTACCAGACCTTAGAACGTTGATGGATGCATACTTAAATGCATTTCCAGCAACTGTCTTAGCCTCCCAAACAAAGTTCTCGTTCTCAACATTAAAAACCTGCAATACATCCCATAGGTGTCTAGTCCCACTCGGATCCCTCATTAAATCACGCATCTATTCAATCCAGTACGTCTGTGCGTGATCTTGGGCTCCGCCACTCAAATAATATTAAGTTTTCTGAACACGTTTCATTTCAAACAGCTAAATCAAGGCAGATGGTTGGTATGATAACAAAATTCCTCAAACTGAGAAACAGCATACTAAGTGCCTACATATCCCACGCCAGACCGCATTTAGAATACCTTCCCATTATTTTCTCTAGTCTGTTCAAAGCAGATCGAATTAAAAGTGAGAACGTCCAACGTTCATTCACCAAAGCTGATCGGTTACTCTTCGCCTATGGACTATACGGAACGTTGCATTCTTTTACGGTTGGACACTTTATGGCTTAGGCACATTTCTCTTAACTTATGTTTCCTGTATAAGCTTCTTCATTGCCGTGTATTCTTTGGCAACAACACTCCCAGGTATTCTCTTCCACGTTAAGTCATAGGAATCTTTCACTAACTATCCCTCACGTAAGGTCAGCAGTAAGATCAAACTTCTTTATCATAAATTACTCCAAATTGTGGAATGAACTCCCGATTGAAATCAGCAAATGCCCTTCTATTGCACAACTTGGCAAGGCCTTAAAAGCACACTTTACCGTTAGCTTTATGTTACAGTTGAACCAATTTAACACCCCTGTTTACCGAGCCTATGAAGAGGGCACGGGTCTCTGAACCGTGTTGACATTGCACCTCATCTCGTCAAATATCCAGTTCACTTCGAGAGTCTCACAGCTCGAGCGGCGGAACCAACCTCACCCGGTGAATCCTTGTATAAAGTAATACCACCTATTCAACATTGGACTCTCCTCCTCCTCACTGATCTCTAACTGACTCTTAATTGCTTGTGTCTTGTATGGCTTAATCTACTCTCATCTACAGTACACTTCTTCAGTTTAAAAACTCTAGAAGTGGGATTGGCAACCCATGGTGAATTTCCTACACCACCCAAATACCAACCTCCTATAGAATTTTCGTTTGCCTCTCGGTGGGTCTCTCCCGCTTTCCCTTCTCAACTGGGTTTCACCACAGACTGCCGAGTTTCACCTCTTCATTCCAGTTGCGTTTGGCTTGGACCTGACAAATGCCTGGGGTCTACACCCGCAATGGACAATTTGGCACGGACAATAGCTGTTAAGGGCTGCTCTATCCACCGCTTTGACTATATGCGTCTGCATTCCAGATCAGGTTGGGGAACATACCCCTGCCTCACCTACAAGGTGTTTTAAGGTTGGGTGCCTAGCGT